AAAAAAAAAAAAAACCAAAGGAAGTCTGGAGAGTGTTTCAAAATACATTATTAATATCTCAGAATAAATCTTAACCAGGTATTCCAACAGATCCTTTAGAGGTAAACAGCAAAGAAATTAAGTAGGTTGTTTATATTTTGTTTGGGGAAGTATTTATGGGACACAGATTGTTCAAATTGTGGAAGAGGCAACAGAGTGTATAAAGATCACAGATGGGGTACCTGGTGGCTTGGTTGGTTGAGTGGCTAACTCTTGATTTCTACTTGGGTCATGCTCTTGGGGTCGTGGGATCGAGCCCACGTCAGGTTCTGTGCTTAGAGGGACGTCTGCTTGAGGTTCTCTCTCTCTCAAATAAATAAATCTTAAAAAATAAAGATCACAGATGCTACCATGGGCCCACCAGAGGTACTGGCATTTTCTTTTATAATTCAACTTGTTTACTAACTAAACACCTCAATTATTATTTTGCCACTAGCCTCAAAAAGGCAAGAATATTCTTTACTTAGAAGCTTTAGATATATCAACTGAAATAAAAGGGGCCATTTACTGCAAGAAAAAGAAAGTCCTTGCTGTTTCCATTTTGTAGCTTCTAACATTTGAATTTTAGATTCTAAAAATGCAAAAATATGCATTATAGCTATGCGTTTCTGCATACCCCACCATGACCAGAATAAGCAAAACCCTGTCCCTTTCTTAAAGCCTACTTGTCACCCGAACCAAAAAGCTTTTTCTGGGTTTTTAAATGGTCCCAGACTCAGAACACCACCAGTCTATCTCCGGTACTTTCAACATATGTGACCTGTTTCAGCACAGAATGGTTTCCTCTTCTTCAGAACCAAAGAGCTTTGTTACAAGAGCAGAACCTCAGGTCCCACCCCAGACTTGCTGAGTCAGAATTTGCACTTTAAAAAGATACCCAGATGAATCACATGCTCAATAAAGTCTGAGAAGCATTGCTTTAGAAGGACTACAGATGCTTTCTTCTACTTGGGGAACACTCTACTTTGGAGAAGTAAATTTTCTCTTAAAAACATCACTTTATAAAAAGAAACAGCTATAGGGGCGCCTGGGTGGCTCAGTTGGTTAAGCAACTGCCTTTGGCTCAGGTCATGATCCTGGAGTCCCTGGATCGAGGCCCGCATTGGGCTCCCTGCTCAGCGGGGAGTCTGCTTCTCCCTCTGACCCTCCCCCCTCTCATGTGCTCTCTCTCATTCTCTCTCTTTCTAATAAATAAATAAATAAATAAATCTTTAAAAAAAAAATTTCAATCCCTGGGTACATGAGGCTCAGTCGGTTAAGCATCTGCCTTCAGCTCAGGTCATGATCCTGGAGTCCCGGGATCAAGTCCCGCATCGGGCTCCCTGCTCGGCAGGGAGTCTGCTTCTCCCTCTGATCCTCCCCCTCTCATGCTCTCTGTCTCCCATTCTCTCTCTCAGATAAATAAATAAAAAATCTTAAAAAAAAAAAAAGAAAGAAACAGCTATAGTCTCTTCTTATATATTACCACCTCCAGATGCATCAGATTTGGGGGCGGGACAAGGTCACTCTAAATCAAAGATTTTCAAAGAATGCAGTCCCCCTGCCAGTAAGCATTAGTGTTGCCTGGGAACTCGGTGAATCAGAAACCAATTCTCTCTTAACAGGCAATCTGTGTTCTTAAAAGCTTCCAGGTGATTTTAGTGCCACTACACTAGGAGACTGGTTCTCAAATATTATTGTTCGTAAGAGTCACGGTCACCTGGGACGTTTGTTACTCAGTGGGTTCCCAGATCCCTGGCCAGATCTCGTGAATCAGAATCTCTGAAAAGCGAAGCCAGGAAATCTGCATCTTACAGGAGGCAGGCGCCATGTGATTCTGATGCATGGGATGTGAGAGCCAAGGCTGGGAGTAGTGGTTCTCAGATTTGGCTGCACATGAGAATCACTGGAAAACTGAGTCCTGATGACTAGGCCACACTCCACGCCAATTAAGTCAAATTCTGGAGGTGGGACTAGTTTTATACTCCATAAATGATTTTCATATACATCCAAGTTTGAGAATCAGTGCTTTTATAAAGCATTTAAGAACCAGCCCTGAGAGCTGAGGCAAGTTACTAAGGCTATCTAAGCATCTAAATACTAAGGCTCTCTAAAGTATTTCCAGATGTATAGTGAGGAACTACTTGAAAATTTAAAAATAACAGTACCTTTTGTAATGTACCACACAATACTCTCCATACTTGTTTGCTGAGAATGAAAAGTGACTTGGGCTGTTTGACTTGATTAGCTGCTATCCTATCCACCTTTTCCTCTCTGGTTTCACTTACCTGCTTATCACACTGCCAAAAAATAAGAAGAAAAACATATATAGATGTTCCCTTATGGGTATTCTTGATCCCGGTTTTAACAGCAATTCATTTTCCACTGGTCTTTCTGAAAAGCTAAATCTGGTTTTAGCAGGAAAGATGTGCCATCTGGTGGCTAACTGTGGTAACGGCATGCTGCGTAATAACTTCAGGGAGAAAAAGGTAGTGCACAGCTTGACAAAATGCAGAGACCACTTTACAGCTGCCTGCAAAGGACAGATGCAACAGCAGGCTTCTAATGAGTCTTACATTGGCACTTCCTCTCTTCATGGCAAAGTATAACTTATTTTGTAACCAAATAATTATATTTTGTTACTAACCTTTTAAAAAAATATAACCTGGCATCTTTTCTGAGCCAAGTATACATGGAAGTTCTTCACTGACATATCACAAAACAATCATTTGATATGTAAAATGGACAAGAAAGTCCTAAGGTATCCAATATTTCTAGCATTCTCAGCATTGTATCTTTCAAATCACCATTGTAAAAGAGTTTCATTTCACTAAATTTTAACTGTTCAGTTAGATAATTTCCTTTCTCAGGAAATGGTTTAGGAGACAGTAAATAAGCTAGTACTGATTTTAATTTTATTGCAACAGTTTAAGAAAATGTCCATAAAGCTAATCCTATGTAAATAAAGACAACTCCCCTCACCCCTTGCTAATAGCTGCACACTCAAATCTATCTCTTCTCTCCTTAGAATGGGCAGCCGCATCCATGTCTACCCAAATGGATCCTTGTTTATTGGATCAATAACAGAAAAAGACGGTGGTGACTACTTGTGTGTGGCCAGAAACAAAATGGGGGACGATCTGATACTGATGCATGTGAGCCTCCGACTGAAACCAGCCAAAATTGACCACAAGCACCATTTTAAAAAGCAAGTATTCCATGGGAAAGATTTCCAAGTTGATTGCGAGGCTTCTGGCTCCCCATTGCCTGAGATTTCTTGGAGTTTGCCTGACGGAACGATGATAAACAATGCAATGCAAGCCGATGACAGTGGCCGCAGGACCAGGAGGTATACCCTTTTTGACAATGGAACCTTATACTTCAACAAAGTTGGGATAGCAGAGGAAGGAGATTATACTTGCTATGCCCAGAACACTCTGGGGAAGGATGAAATGAAGGTGCACCTAACAGTAATAACAGCTGCCCCACGGATCAGGCAGGGTTATAAGACCCACAGGAGAATCAAGGCTGGAGACACAGTGGTCCTTGACTGTGAGGTCATCGGTGAACCCAAGCCAAAAATATTTTGGTTGCTGCCTTCCCATGACGTGATTTCATTCTCTAAGGATAGGTACACATTTCATGCGAACGGGTCTTTGTCCATCAACAAAGTGAAACTGCTCGATTCCGGAGAGTATGTGTGTGTGGCCCGAAATCCCAGTGGGGATGACACAAAAATGTACAAACTGGATGTTGTCTCCAAACCTCCATTAATCAACGGTCTGTATACAAACAGAACAGTCATTAAAGCCACAGCCGTGAGGCATTCCAAAAAACACTTTGACTGCAGAGCTGAAGGAACACCATCTCCTCAAGTCATGTGGATCATGCCAGATAATATTTTCCTCACGGCCCCATACTATGGAAGCAGAATCACAGTCCATAAAAATGGAACCTTGGAAATTAGGAATGTGAGGTTTTCAGACTCGGCAGATTTTATCTGTGTGGCTCGGAATGAAGGAGGCGAGAGCGTGCTGGTGGTACAGTTAGAAGTACTGGAAATGCTAAGACGACCAACGTTCAGAAATCCATTTAATGAAAAAATAGTTGCCCAGCTTGGAAAGTCCACAGCATTGAATTGTTCTGTTGATGGAAACCCACCACCTGAAATAATCTGGATTTTACCAAATGGCACAAGATTTCCCAATGAGCCGCAAATTTCTCAGTATCTGATAGCAAGCAATGGTTCTTTCATCATTGCTAAAACAACTCGGGATGATGCAGGAAAATACCGGTGTGCAGCAAGAAATAAAGTCGGCTACATTGAAAAACTAATTGTGTTAGAAATTGGCCAGAAGCCAGTGATTCTTTCTTATGTGCTAGGAACAGTTTACTGTGTCAGTGGAGAATCCCTATCACTGCACTGTGTGTCTGATGGAAGCCCTAAGCCAAACATCAAATGGACTACACCAAGCGGTTCTATAATAGATAGACCTCAAGGTAGTGGAAAACACATATTGCATGAAAATGGCACCTTAGTCATTAAAGAAGCAACAGCTTATGACAGAGGAAACTATATTTGTATGGCTCAAAATAGCGTTGGCCATGCACTGATTACCATTCCAGTAATGGTTGTAGCCTACCCTCCCCGAATTACAAATCGCCTACCCAGGAGCATTCTCACAAGGACAGGAGCGCCCGTTCAGCTCCGATGTGTGGCCCTGGGAGTCCCCAAGCCAGAAATTACATGGGAGCGGCCGGACCACTCCTTGCTCTCAATGGCAAATAAAGGGGGGACTCGTGGACTTGAGCCGTTTCACCCCCAAGGTACCCTCATCATTCAGAATCCCCAAACCTCAGATTCTGGGATCTACAAATGCACAGCGAGGAATCCACTTGGTAGTGATTATGCAACAACGTATGTTCAGGTCATCTGACATGAAATAAAAATTGAACAAAGTCAACATCTGGACAGAGTTTAATTTTTGGAAGAAGTTTAATCAAAGGCAGCCATAGGCATGTAAATGAATTTGAGTACATTTACAATATTAAATTTATAATGGACATGCAAAATAAAAAAAGAAAAAGACTTGTAAATAAATGCAATATGACTGATAGTGATTTGTTAATTGATCTCCAAACAAACTTTTAACTTAAGGCACTTTTATTTTGCCAACAAATAACAATGAACATTAAGGTAAAACTGTCCACCATAAAAGAACAAATGGCTAATGTATCTGAATTCTTCATTAAAGAATGGACTTTGTTCTTTCACTACCAGTTGCCTAGTGTCCACCTTCTAGCAATGTTACAAGCATGGCACTGAGAAGAGAGACAATGGGAAAGATTAAATTTGCAGTCTTGATTGTAAATTTACAATTTTGATGTACAGATATTTTGTGGCTGACTTAGAAATATTTTAGTAAAACCTAGAGAAAATAAGCTCTGAACGGTTTTGACTAGGATTCTGTTTTGTGTACACTGAAAATTTTCATTGATGGGGAATACAAAAATGTTTTAATAACTGTGTTTAAAATACATGTAAAAAGCAACTTAACACCTACACATCATAAAAAGTGAAAAGGGGGTTGATTACTTCGTTATTGAAATAAACTCATTAAAAAGGCTTCATTAAAAATACAATGAAACTTCATCACTTCAAAATCTAACACAGGCATCCTTGGTTTGGAACTTTTTATAAGGAAAATATTCTGAGAAGGAACCATTGCTTTATGAACTTATTTCATTAAGGGATAATCCTTTATGGAAGAGGAAAATCTAAATCTAATACATAAAATTTGATCAAATCTACACAAAATGTTGCTTTTTGTAATTCAACGTGAATTGATTTGGGGGACATTATGAGTCATCTTTTCTAATTCTAGAGGCTGGGATGTTCCAGTGTAATTTATCCAGAATTCATTCAAATATCTGCCAGTTATTTAAAGTGGAAAAAAAAAATGCCATAGGTCTCGCTCGGATCTCTCAGCACACAAAACAACTATGTTAGCCCCTGCTGATGGTCTGAGACACAGGGGAGCTTACTTCATTGTGTTTTCATCACACCAACTTTCAGCTGGCTCCACCTAAGAGGTGACCTGACTGCTACTATCTCAGATGCTGGTACCCTGTGGCCACAAGAGGTCAAAGGATACTCATTCTCACTGTGATCTCCTTCCACTGCCGAGCCAAAAGGAGTAAATTAGAATGACAAATGGAAGCTATTAGGAATGAGACTAGAGTGTAAACAGGTATGTCTAAGGGATTCTGATGCCCAATTACATTCAATTTTTAAAGTCTTATTTTTAAGGGAAAGGGAGGTCTCCATCTTCTCCTAGGATAATTTCCTGTCTTACAAAGCAAATTACCAGGTTCTGTCAAAGGATAGGGTTTTCCCTCGTGATCATTTTAATGCAAATTAATGCACTTGCTAAGAAAGAAACCTCTTAGGATGTGGGATTAAGTGGAAGGAAATATGCTAAGACTAGATTATAAAAATTCCAGTCATTCTCTTTATAATGCACAGGGGTAAGCCAGTCCTAGGTTCTTCCTCAACTTTCCATAGAATCTGAACTATAGGGCCTTACCATGACTTGGCTTTGTCACCGGAAAAGAAAAGGACACAACAAGAAAAAAAGTATACCCCACAGCTTTCATGTGCAAAATGATTATTAATAAATTAATTTCACTACCTTATGCAAACTATAAAGTGCATATGAATGCTATGCAATTATCACACTCGTTCTTGAAACGATATGACTGTTGTTTGCAATACTGAGCTATAAAAATATATGGTTCAAACTAAAAACTGGCATTTTAGATCCCAATAATTCTTCCAAAGGAAATCAGGACAGAACAGGACTCACTCACTCACTAGGCACAACATTCACATTTCGGTTGTTTTGCCAAGGCAATCAACATACGGATAGATTACTTGGAAGAAAAATAACTTCATGGACTCTACGTAGGATTTTCAAGAGGGAAAAAAAAAACAAAACCTGATATACAAAACCAGCTGAAATGTAAAGATCTGTCTTCTGAAAGCAAAGTATGTTATAATTTCGTGAAAAGAATGGTCTTGAATGTTTTGGCAAAGTCTTTTCCAGCCCAGAGTAAACATGAAATGAGCAGGCTGGAGTGAACTATTTCACAGTGTACAAAGCAGTTCACATGGATGCTGCCACAGCAAAAGTAAGCGGACATGTATTTGAGGTCGTTTGCATGAGTCAAACTTTGCAATGAGTAACTCACCTAGGAAGATACAAATTATTTATATAATGATTTGCAAAAGAAATGATCTAAAGTCATACTAGCTACATTTTAAAAAAGTAGTTCTACATGGTTTGCTCATTATAGACAAATCTATTCACAGTATGCTCAACTACATTACATGTAAAATCATATGGCAAAAGAAAATGAATTAACACAAAACATGGGAAAATATCCCCCACATGTTTTAAAATGCCCTGCAATTTTCACATTCAAAATTTTATGCATCTAAATCTAAAAAAATATTATATGGAATACTCTTAAGTTACACAAACTGATAATAATTTACTGTATTTTTTACTCTAATAGGAGCAAATTACCACATACTTGAACAAAGTTAAAATAGTTACTATTTCTTTATAATAAATTTGATGTATAATTTACTTGTGCTTTTTGCACCAATTTATAAATACAGTATATGCAATACACAACCAAGACTGACACCAACATTAATAATTAAATTCAAAATAGCAAATACTTACCATACAAAATAAACAGCAAATACATCTTTATGAAAACCAGAGCCTTCTGGACTCGGGGGCCAGATTCTCTGGAAACCACGTCAAGTTTGAGCACTGTGGAATCTCAGGCCAGCTGCAAGATTGTTTTTTCTCAAGTTGGCATAAGGTTCAGGAGAACCAAGAGTCATTTTTGCCAAATCTGGCAATAAATAATTGGAACAATTCCACTGTGGTTCGTTCGGGCCTTTAGAATTAACATGTTGTACCTTCACAAAGACTCTGGTCAATGCTCTTGCCACTGAAAACAAATTCAAGTACAGCTACTTCTAAGAGGCTTCCATGTATCTGAGGGTGGCTCTCACAGAAGCCTGGGTTGAAGTTCTTGGTCTAAGAAGTTTAAGTACTAAGCAACAATCTGTTTCAGCACCTTTTGACCACAACAAAAGCAAAGAAAAATCCTACCTAAATAAGAATAAAGTTTATAAAGTGCTTATGAAATTACAAACATTTCAAATCAGAGCAATGCAAATAGATGTCCATTTCACCATCACAGGTGAAAGAAGAATAAATGGATTACTCTCCTGTCAAGACCTGACATGCCTTTCAAATCAGTAGTTTGGTCCAGCACAGTTTGGGGCGGGGGGCGGGGGGGGGGGGGCGGGGGGCGGGAGAAGAAAACAACAAACTTCATCATTAATGAACACATATTTTAAATCCACCATAATTCATTCTTTCTATGAGATCCAAAAAAACAGCACCAATTTCAAAAGATCTGCTACCACGCTCTTCCTGGAGTAGGCCCACATGATCCACATTTTTATACCTACTTTAAGGTTGAATTTAACCAAAAAACCCCAAACCACACTTCCTCCTTTTCTTTTTGTTTTAAATACCTCTATATGAAATGTAGCACAAAATAAGAAAACTTCAAAGAAAGGAAAGAACAAAAGGACATTTCTAAAGACTGATGCATTAAATTTGATTTTCTATTTTTCAGTGCAAACATAAAACTTTATGTCTTGTCCTCTTCCAGATTCAGAAGTGTGATGGATGCCCATAGGGAGTCACTCCTTGCTGTGGCTGGTTACCTAATGGGAAAAATAAATTCAAATAAAATCGCAGATGCAAAATTATGCCACAGACAGATGCTACCCTCTTGCCACGGTTCTCCGTACCAGCCTCAAGAACAGGAGGACAGACAAACCGGCCAAGGAGTGCATGCTAGCCCAGGGACCTGAGCAGTAAGGTCTGAATACCCTAACTGCATGCATTCCACAGGGCCACTGGCTCTACATCAGAGTCCTACACCTGCTGGTACAAAGCCTTCGGGCAGTAACCAGCCCCTCTAAAGTCTCTGAGTCTAAACTAAGGAACAGCTCAATACTAACGTACAAAAGGACTCTAAGTATTGTAAAATACTGAAAGTTCCCCAAACTTTTATAAAAACAGATGAGAGATTTTACTTTAACACGGACATTAAAGTGAGAGAAGTGGCATGAAACAGGGTAATTTTCTACAAATGGCCATATAAGGTATGTAAGAGAGAAGTGTGTAAGGCTGTCTACACGTGCGACAGTGGCTACGTGTGTTGACTCAGGTGTCTGCCTCTACATATATGTACATGTGTGCAAACACACACACACACACACACACACAACCTAAAGAGGAGTAGGCACAAAACAATGACAGGGACTTAGAAATAACTACTGCTTCCCCAACTCTGGTGGGACTATTCAAGTCCAGAGGCTCCATCCACACGGGTTATGATACAGAAGGAGCCCTCTGGGTTGTACAGTGAGACAGCTCAACTTAGTGGCCATCACTCAACAAAGAAGGCTGGCATAACTGCTAATATCAGGGAGCAGAGTTTCTGGAAGGGGACCATCTGAATTCAAGAGTCCCAGCTCTGCCTCTTACTTTTAGCTGAATAACCTTGGACAAATGAGTCAATCAGTCTTCCTTTTCTTTAGCTATTTCCTCATCCATAGTATGGGAATGGTAATACCTTCACTCATGGGGCAGTTTAGGAATTAAGTGCATTAATCTATGTAGATTCAGAGTGCCTGGGTCCAAGAAAGTGCTCCATAAATGACAGATTAAAAAAAACTGCATATCATGAGCTCTGGGAAACAGGAAAGAGAGTAGGTACACTCCCAAAAAGTGCCACTGCATAAAAATCATAGGTACTTATTTCTAAACGCTAGAAAAAAATCTAAAATGCAAGCATGTGGTCTCTGCCTTAAAATTATATTCTCTTTAACCATGTGAAAGTATGAACTCTCGAATAAAACAATGAAATATTAACCACACATATAATAGGCTACCCCTGTTAAGCAGTAGTTAGAAAACAAGACCAATTTAAATGATTTAACAAATTAAATGAGGCTAAACGAGGGAAATACTTTTAAAGAAAAAGGAAAAAAAAAAGAAAAGAAAAAAGACCTTGGTTATGCCCTAGTAGAGACGCAAGGTACACGAGGGGCATTTCCTCTGCAAGGAAATCAACAGGCCCAGGCACCAGGTGGAAAATTAAGACCAAACCCAAGTTGCCCCTCAGTCCTAACTGACCCTCCTCCTGACAGTATCCTACCAGAGTTGCACAGCTGGCTTTAGGACTAGCTGGCCTTCACTCCATACCTCCAAAGCACACAACCAGAGACCCAGGAGAAATTGCCGGTCCCACTAGTCTCCTCGCTGCATGGACGAAAAAGTACATGGTCCAGAAAACGGTGGTAGGGCTAGCACCGGGATTCAGACTTCCTAACTCCTAGGCCAATATTCTTTGCATCACAGGGGGCTGGTTTGCATTTCTAAAAATATCTCCTGTGACGTCAAGCAGCACAGGGGGGATTTGATTCATGAGAGCACGCTGCCGGCATCCAGAAGAGGTGTGGTGAGATGGGCTGTTGGCATCGCTTTAGAGAGAGAGCACAATTAAAAAAAAAAAAAAAAAACCACACCAGCATAGCAGGCCCAATTATCGGGGACAAACTGCCCCGCTCTGCTGCTTGCAGCATTAGCAGGCTGTGAGTTCTCTGCACTGTTATCAGAAGGACAGGATGGCGCAGTGGAAAGAACAGTCAGGGCCCCAGTGACCAGGAGACAGGTCTAGGGCTGGCCCTCCTCTACAGGTGGCTTTGGGAGGCCAGCTCCTTCATCAGCACACTTGAGGGCATCGGCCGAGCTGGTCTCTGAACCTTCCAGCTTGGATAAAAAGGGTACCCGCACTTCCACGTGGGTCTCCCAAATGAAAAGAAACATTGCCAGGTTCAGACGGAAGAGGAAAACATCTTCACTGAAGTCAAAAACAAACAAAAAAACCTTGGGACTTTCCAGCGGCAAGGGGAGGGAGCATTTAAACCAAACCCAAACCCAAACCAAACCAGCCTGGACTCAAATGAAGATGTAAATGGTACTGAAGGAAGACAGGGCACTGTCTGAGGAGCCAGCACGTGTGTTCTGCTTGTCTTGAATCTCCCGGGAGCCATCTGTTCTGTAACGCGGGGGTACTTACTAGAAAGCTGCTTCTGGAGCTGCCGCACCAGGGCCGCCGTCTGTTGCTGCTGCTGGGTCTGCTGCAAGCCTTGCCTGGGGAACTGCAAATGTGACAGAAGACAGGAGGGCAGTCAGCCTGCGCTGCCCGGCTCAGACAAGGACAGACGCTACCTGCTGGGGTCGGTTTGAACACACCGTCGACCCTTTCAGATCAAGGCGCCACGCCCGGAGGGTGTACGTTAATTTTCTTCTACACCCCGATGTACACCTGGTGAGCATCTGAAGTGCCCAATCCATTCAAAATCTCACTCTCCAGGTGGTCACTTCGCATTTCTTGGAAGAGGCGTGATGAAGGAGTCCACTCCAGGGGTGGCCCCGGAGGTCAGATCTCCTTGTTACCGTATCCTTCACCAGCTAGCTAGTTAGGATCATGCTAGCATAAACCATTTTCATCGGCCACATGAAAGCTCCCTGACCAGAGGATTTGTTCAAGCACCACAGGCCGTGCCTTGTATGGATGGAGACAAGAATGTGGTGAGGCAGAGCAGTACCCTCCATCCAGGACCCATTTGGGACTATGCCCTCCCATGGGATGCTGGATGAAGGTCAGCCAGAGTTACTATTTTTTGATACAAAGCAGAAAAACAGCACCTTGCCTGTTTTTTTATTTTCCTAATGCCCAAATCAAGAAGGAAAAATAAAGCAAAACTCCACCTTTCATTCACATGGAAATGTTAGTAAAATAAAAAGTGCTTTCTTTTCTATTCAGTGGTTTCTTTATCTGGAAATACTACCTATTTAACAAAACCGAATATGCCACCATTTACTCGGCAGTGTTCTAGACATTGTATGTATACATTAGCCCATTTAAGCTTGACCAGGTAATACCTATTCTCAATCCTTTATCCATATACGATTTATTATGACACGTCCATAATATACAGACTGATCAAGGCCTAGGGCAGTACAACATAATCGAACTAAATTTCTGCAGGAAAACATACAACTAGTCCTATCAGGCAGAATGAATGAAGAAAGATGGGGTCTGTTCAGGTCAGTTTTTGCAACCAAATGGGTTCAGGTCAGCCTTTGGGGTTCAATGAGTTACAAATAAAATTTCCATCTCAAAATAAAATGTCAAAATTCAGTTTGGATTTTAGAAATGAATATAAGGGACTGTAGACCTTTACTACTATTATTCTCATTTTACAACCGAGGGAACGGAGACTCCAAGGTGTTTAATCACTTGCCCATGATCCCTGTAAGTAATGGGGCAGGGATTCAGACAAAGCTTTCTGGATTCAGAACTTCCTATCTTAACTGCAATCCAGTGCTACCTTTAGTTGGGAATATTAGCTTCCAAATATTAATTTACTTGGAAATAATCACAGATTCTAAATGGTGGGCTGCAAGAATGTCTGATCTTTTTTTATTAAAGACTTTATTTATTAGAGAGAGAGCGTGCCCACAAACAGGGGAAATGGCAGAGGGAAAGGGAGAAGCAGACTCCCCAGTGAGCAGGGAGCCCGATGTGGGGCTGGATCCCAGAACCCCGAGATCATGACCCGAGCCAAAGGCAGATGCTTAACTGACTGAGCCACCGAGGTGCCTGATGTCTAATCTTATCATTTTATTAACTAACATACTGAGGTACACATGCATAAATATTTAACATTTATTCATTCAACAGATACTTAGCTGTCTTCTTTTATGTTCATTTAAAATCTGCTCCAAATAGAGTAATTCACAGAATGAAATATGGCAGTGATCTCCTCAGAGTCTGTATCTTGAGGAGCCTTGGCAGTAACTAATTCATAGGAAGCTCGTGTGCATATGGGTGTGTGAGTACGCATGCACACATGTTGGCAGGTAGTGGGTGCTCTGCTGGGTGGCCTTAAGAGATATCCTCCAGGGGACCCCAAAACTATTGGGGAGGTCTGCAAAATCAAAACTGTTTTCATAATAATACTAAGGCACTAGTTGTTCTTGCTCTCCTTGTCTCAGGAGTATACAATGCAGTTTTTCAGAAGCTATAGAACATGTGATATTGTAACAAACAAGGTCTTCAATTTATTCAGACAATAAATTTTCAAAAATGTAAACAATGTCATTCTTCTCACTAATTTTTTATTTTGAAAAATATTCTTATATTTATATTCATTCATTATTCATAAAGTGTTATTTCTGGTTAATATCTAATGAGAATTTTAAATATATTAGTAAATACTGGTAATATTTGTTTTAATTTCTAATACAATAAATATTAATAGATACACAAACGCTCTTTGGGTCCACAGTAATTTTTGAATGAGAAGTGGTTCCAAGGCCGAAACTGAGACCAGTTTCGTTCGGCACACCTCCCCCCGACCCCCTCCATCCAAGGAAGTGGTGGAATACGGCTGCAGTCCATAGTCTCCTCAGTTGTAGTGTTTTTCCTGCATTTGTTTCTCTCAAGGCCACTCTGATGCAAAATTTAACTTGCTTCCACCTGTATGTGAATGTCAGCAAGCAAAAGACCCAGCTTACAGCCTCCCTGGGCCCTGGAGCACCTGAGGCCAGGGAAAGAGAGCCTGCCACCAGCTCTCCACAGAACCCTCACTGAGGAGCATTTCAAACCAAGTCACTGAGCTCTTGCACAAAACTGGCTGAAGCAGCATAAAGCCATCAGGAGAAATTTAAAGAGTCATCCTCTTAAGCTCTTCCCCAGACTTCCTGAGTTAAAATTTCTGGGCCAAATGTGCTAGAAATCTGTATTTTCAAATGGTTCCCTTAAGTGGCCTGATGCTTGGCTAGATTTCGGAATCATCCCCATGTTGGGAGCTGGAACTTCTAATTTACCAGAACAGGTCAATACATGGGACAACTTAGGCTTACCAGAAGTAAAATAAATCTAAAAACCACAATCTGTGTATGTTTAACCTTTCCTGCTTAAGTCTGATAAGTAAAGAGGAAAGATTTTTCTGGATTCTATCCACGCAGGAGATGTTCATAGTTCTGCTCACCTCTGCGCCTCTGCAAATGTTAATCCCTCCTCCTAGAAAACCTTCCTTTCCCCCTTCATCCTACCCCTACATGCTCCTAAAAATCTGCCTGTCCTTCAAAGATCAGCTCAAGTGCTTACCTACTCCCTTAGGAATGTGAAGAGCAAACCACTGCTCCTGTATCCTGTGGAGATGCCTTTATTATCAAATGTGGCGTGATGTGACAAGTGTTTCTCTCCCCAGTATTCTGGATTTTGCTCTTCTCGGGGACGGGAGCTGTGTGCCATGCCCCTGCTGCAACCACGAGACAAAGCACAGAGCTCAACAATGTCCGTCAGGTACAGCCAACTAGCCCACGGGGCAGAGCTACTCTCCACTAAACACATTCTCTGCCGAACTCAAAACAATAATTTAAAATTTTATTATGATGTGCTTCGACTAATCCCTATTTTGACAACACACGCTTAGTCAAGAATATTAACGTTCCTGCTCGCTCATCACTTAGGCAAAATGCATCATCTCTAAACCAGTCATTTCTATTTAAGTAAATGCCACTGAATCACTTCTGTCTCAGAAAAGCTGGCTTCTTTGGGCCCTTCTCTGCAGAGCAGAGACACTGACCGTCCTACGCAAGAGCAGGGCTGAAGAGTTCGTGGTGGACCTTCACACTGCCTCAAACCTGGTTTCAACCTCTTGCCTTCTGAACTTTTTCCTTTACCTAGGGATCACTGTGTGGGGCTTTTGTCCCTTCGTTGCTCGGACATTCAACAAACAAATTATTCAACAACAGTTAACCAAATCCAGGCACATTTTGGGGTTCTAGGAACACCAAAGTGAGTAAAGCACAGCTCCTGCCTCCTGACAGCTGTGTCCTAAAACTGTCACTGCACATTATTGGTGAGCAAAGGACAAAGCACCAAGGCAACATTTATTTGAAACCTGCGCTGCCAACTGAGAGAGTGCAGAGAGTTATGGGCTCCTCTGACGGTCGGAATAAAACCTTTCATCAGTACCAGCTCCAGCACAAGGACTGTGGTACCGTGGGGGCCCCTCCACTGAGCGCTGGGTAGAAGTATGCATGCTTGGATGCTGGCAAGACAGAACACTCAGAAAGGGCCGGCACCAACAGATTTCAGAGGATTTGGCGCGCATTTATTTGCAGTTTCACCAGTAACTTGCGTGCAGCCGTTTTTTAAAAATCTCTAGTTTTTTTTTTTTGAGTGGGAAGAAAAAATCAAATTTATCTGTCCTGTTACCAGAAATCTCCCACATAGGTCTTCCCTATCCTCCCCATCTGTAAGTTACTTCTTTCCCTTCAAAAAGGAAAAAAAAAAAATTAAAATCCAAATTCATGCAGAGGAAGGTGACAAAGCTCAGTAAATTTCTCTGAAATAATTTTTTCCGTTTGAAAAGGAAAATACTATCTGGCTAATTCTGAATTCTAGAGGCACTGGAAAATTTTCTCAATTTTTCTGAATGGAACATACGAATTTTTTTGAAGATTATATAGCAATCTCACACATGATCTTTGGCTACAAATTAATGCAATCATTTAAGTAACTACTGCTTCCACTATGCATATTTTTATAAGGCATTATATTCAATATAATGTGATATGACACAAGCATCAAATAATTTAAAAAGCCAGCTTTTTAAAGCTTCCTGTTAGCATCTTATCCAGGTCACCCAGCTAGGACACCGTGAGTTTAAGATAAAAAGAAATGACACAGCAGTATGATGTAAACTTTCTTTTCTTTTTTTTTTTATTTTATTTTTTAAAAATATTTTATTTATTTATTTGAGACAGAACGAGAGAGAGAGAGCACATGAGAGGGGGGAGGGTCAGAGGGAGAAGCAGGCTCCCTGCCGAGCAGGGAGCCCGATGTGGGACTCGATCCCGGGACTCCAGGATCATGACCTGAGCCGAAGGCAGTCGCTTAACCAACTGAGCCACCCAGGCGCCCCTAAACTTTATTTTCTTAAAAGTTAAAAGCAGCCTTAAAGAAAAGATCACAGTCTGTTAACGTATTTAGTTAAGAGTTAATCATTACAACTCAAAAACTTATTTAAAGGTATTTTTCAAGTCAAGAACTATAATTTAGGTCAGAACTAGAAAGGCCAAATGTAATTTTCCAGCAAGGTGCCTCGTCTTTCTTTCCTGTTGCTCTTTTACCAAAGACAAGTAAGCAAATGAAAACACAGGCATTGATATTAAGCTGACACATTTAATTTGTAAGCATGGGCCTTTAACACTTTCTTCCTCTTTTCACAGAAAAGCTCTGCTTTCTGAAGATGCTTTCGGAAAAAGCACCAATTTCTGTTCTAAGTTAGTTTTGAATCGTAGGTTCACTTTTTACAGCAAGGACCAAACTGCCCATGTGGCTGTTAATAATCATTGTGCCACATGGACCCGCTATTGCTGTCAAGGAGGGGGGGCAAAGAGCACTCAACAAATCCCAAAGCCTTTCTGGGTCCGCTGCATTCAACCTCCTCCCACAAGTCTTCCTGAGCTTCTCATACCCTTCCTGACCTCTGTTTCAGGTTGAATTATGTTGTCCCGAAAAGCTTTGCTGGCATCCCAACCCCAGTACCTCAGAATGTGACCTTATTTGGAGAGAGGGTCTTTACAGAGGTGATCAAGTTAAAATGAGATTATTAGCATCAGACCTGATCCAATGTGATGGGTGTCCTTATAAAGAAGGGAAGGTTGGACACAAACACACATAACAGTGAGAATATCATGAGAGGATGAAGACAGAGATCATGTTTGTTTCCATGAGCCAAGGAAAGGCAAAACTCACCAGCACACCCTAAGAAGCTACAGGGAGTGGCTTGGAGCAGATTTCTCCCTCGTGGCCCCTGGAAGGAACCAACTCTGCCGACACCTTGAGCTTAGACTCCCAGCCTCCAGAACTGTGAGATAACACGTTTCTGTTGGCAAAGCCTCCAGTTTGTGGTGCTGTGTTACAGGAGCCATAGCTTCCTAGTACTTCTCCTGCTTCCCACATGCCGAGCTGTTCAGTGGTTTCCTGGGATTCTGAGCTGTCTGGGGGCAGGGAGCACGCTGGGCGCTTCATTAGTGTGCTCATAACCTCTGGCCCAGTGTCGGCCTCTACTGTACAGAACAAATAAGCACTAGCTGAACTGACTGCTGGATGTCACCCGGTAGCCGTAGGGCAAGTCACAGGGAGGGTGGTGGCGGTGTGACCAATACCACTTCTCCCCTGAGACTGCATGAATCAGAACTCCAAATGAGTCAGAGCAGACTTCTCCACAGCCAGCTTACTGCTCAGTTTCCAGCAAAGAAACAATATCACATTTTAAGAAATTATAAGAAATACAATTTTCTTCTTAGTATTGCTAAGGCTTCCTGCTACTGTTCTGAAGACACACATTTAGAGATAACATTATTCTTATGCTTCTGTTTTCTTTTATTGTAAGAAAACAAAACAAAACAAAAAGAGAAATTGAATATGTATCAAAATATCCCTAGCAGTATTATTTGTGAAACTGGAAACAATACCAATGTTCAGCAGCAATAGGTGGGGTGTTAGGCAAGTAAGAGCAGAGGAATACAGCTGACTGACTTTATAGCTATATAAAATTACAAACATGTAGACTATGTTAATAAACTTAAAAGTATATGCTGAATAAAAGTATGCTGAAAAAAGAACTAATTACATAATGTAAAACTCCAAGATCACTGATCCCTTTAATTCTGAAATCTGTCCAAGTGATATTTTAAATTTCTTAGCCTATCCTAAGACTATGACATACACAATATTTCTGCCTTTGTAAAAATAATTGCTGTCTAGATTACAATAGTGTTCTAAATATAAAAATAAGAATTATGCTTCCAAAATAGCTTTTAAAAAAAGGCTTCAGCTCAAAAGGGAAAAAAAGGGGCTGGAAAAAGCCCACTGTGGATTTTATTATCCATTAAGACTGTTGTAATGAAGTTTTTTGTTTCTCTGAAATTACTTTACTATGAACACAGTAGGAAAAAATCATGGGCCATGTTTTGACTAACCTGCTCAATCCCGAGGATGTATTTTAAGTTAGTGAGTAAAATACAACCGATGACATTAAAAACTTCAAAACTGTCTTAGAGGTCAAAAATGAATAAATTTGATATATAGTCTTTACACATAATAAATAAATATTCATGAAACTTTTAGATGAATAGAAAGATATTAAATTCCCTTATATTAGATATGCTTTCATTCTAGTGGAACTGAAGCTAGAGTCTCTTCTCAACCCTGCAAAAGCTGATCCTCTGCTTCAAATCATTAAGAAGTTTATAATTAAGAAGTTTAAAAGACAATTTCCAGCCCAGCCCTATAAGTTTAACTTGTGATATAATCAAATGTTTATTTTTTTTTTACCCTACTCAAAAGAACTACTACATTTCAGGCACTTGATATCAATATCCATCTGTTTATATAGCACGATTCTCTAAGAATAAAAAAATGTAATGCATTTAATATTTTATGTACTTCTTATATGCTACATTATAAATCAACTAAAATAGTACTGATAAAAGAGGCAGGAGTCTGCAACTTACTGGATATGTACAGATCGGGGGGAAAAGAATGCGTGCGTGTGCATAGAAAGAATAATAAAGCAAATGTGACAAAACGTTATTAGTAAATCTGGGAAGAGGATTTATGGTAATTGTATTATTCTTTAATTCTTCTGTTAGTTTGAAATTACTTCAAAATAAACAGTTATATCTTGTTCTTGGGTGAGATGCTAGGGTGAAGCAGGAGTATCCCATGCCAAGGAGTCCCTGACACAACACTTGTAAGTCAGTCAATCCCTGCTGAAACACCCCTGAGGATGAAGAGTGCAGGCTGTATGTGAACGTTTATATACTGCCTCTACCTGAGAAAGGATTTTTAAGATGGTTTACAATAAATGTCACAGATACAAAAAAAAAAAAAAGAACTGGAGCTAGAAAAACTAGATTCATAATAAAGAAGAATTTCCGTAATAACGGGGACCAACCCGTTTTACAAGCAGAGGCTTGTAAAAGGATATCTCGGTGCATTTTACAAGCCTCCGCACCGAGATACCCTATTTCATTTGCTGATGCTCCATTATCAGTCTATTTGGGCATGACCTGTCCTTTATCACCTAGCTCTACTGATCTGATCTCTCCTGATATACCACAGCACTGGCTCTGCTGTTACTTCTTTACTGCAAAGGTTGTGAAACCATCCATCTTTCTACTCCGGTCCTGAAGATAGTCTATACCAGGGTTTCCCAAAGTGCAATAAGCCAGCTCATGTTAGGTAATATTCATTCACACAACTCATGTCGTTCAGTTACCTTCAGTGTAAGTATTTATTTTTACAGATATTTCTAATACATAGCAAGTGATGTGACCACTGATGGCAGTAATAAAAATTCTTTTTAGAATATACTTACTTCAGTAAATAGAAAAAGAGGCAATTTAAAGAAAAAATACTTAAGTAAATAATAAAGCAGGGATATGGCACTTGGAAAAGTAAAGGATGTAAATTATTGAGGTTCAGAAAACACTGATGCTATGCACTTAACATTTTCAAAATCTGACTTACAAAGCTAAAGAAGTTAATTACACGATTACAAATTATATGAAAATTCTTACAGAAAATAACTGGCTAAAATCAGAGTTTCTTTTATATCAGTAAAGATATTTTAGAAAGCACACTCATGCTCTTTTGAAAGTATAGTAAAAACTCAAATAGATATGGTAAATTATCATTTTAACATTGTTTAAAAAAAATTGGGGTCTCAATATAAATATTTTAGTCCATGGAAAAGTCTGAAAAAATTTGAAGAGGAAAATGGTATAACTTACTGAACCCCAATATTTATTTATACCTTTCTGTGAAAACAAATATACTACTCTGATAAAAGCTCTAGGGAAAACTTGCAAGTGTACATTTAAGCTATTTTAATTCTTAACAATCTTATGGGATGAAAAAATGCAACCTGCCTTTAAAGAAGAACCCCACATATTTGGTTCCAAAACACCAGGTTCCTTACCAAAGGCTGTTGGGGCTGCATCGCTTGGAGACCAAGGGTCTGACTCTGGGGCTGTGGGGGCTGCTGGGGCTGGGGGGGTTGCTGCATCTGGAAAGAAAAAGGATTAGACATTTAGAGAGGGTAATATATTCCAATCCCCTCCCCCATATACCTTTTATCTAATTACGCTGTTGCAATGAAAATGATATACACCTAGCTCCTGCATCACTGTCTTGACAAACATTCATCTTTTAAGGGCAAGACCTAAATCTGTTCTCTTTGTAGGCTTCTTGGGACTACCACAACCCCAGGGAGCTCTTCTTTCCGTCATCACTGTCTGTACTGCCCTCTGCTGTCCAGGGACATCCTTTATACTTACTGTTTTAACACCTTTCACGTTATCTGCTCTTGCACATACTTTATCCTATCTTATACCAGAGGGTTGGAAAAGGACTAAGTAATTACCGTTTTAGTCCCTATGACAATCTGGAGGAACTTGTGAAGATTAATTTTTTTTTTAAAGGGAGAAAAACAGGAAAAAGAAGAGGAGCAATTCTTGAAGATTAGAATATTTTTTTAAAAGGAAGATGTATATGTGGGAAGTTCTGACAAAAAATACCAGCATAAAAACAAATTATGTCAGTGACCGAGTTGGTGTAAATAAAGAGCCCTTAGAAAACACTTCCAAATCACAGAAGAAACACACATTACTCATCCACCATGTGGGACACAGAGGAGAGGAAAATATTAATAGGTGGTTTGTCTCGGTGACCTTCAATGTGTCCTCCACCCAGGCACTTCATTTTGATGATGACAGTGCTGGACTTCTTTTCATCCTTTGCATTTCCAACTTGGTTTGCATACTATCCCCCAAATTATTTGTCTTCTTTAAGGCAGGGTAATAAATAGCTATTACCAGATGGTATTTCCCACTAAATGCCAACACTCATGGATATGGAATCCTAGCAGGAGGTCTGGGCAGGGTCACTCCCAACTGAGACAATGCAAGTGGGACCAGAACCATAATGATTGCAATATAAAGCCAATTCTCCATTTGGCTTTCTGTGAATTCTTCCAAGAAAAATCCAACCAACCTCATAATTACCAATTTGTTCCTTTATGAAGGTAGTCAGTCACCAAGAAAAGAGTAAGTATAATCCTGAGGCAGAAGCAAATCCCTTTTCTTTATCTCCAGGGAATTTGTAGTAATGAAAAAATTACCAGAGGGGCATATTAGGCTACTTGGGATAAAAAAGTACATATTAACCAATAAAAAAACACTTTCAAAATTTGCAGCCTTGAAAAGCAATGTAAGACAGGAAGTAGGAAATAATGTAATAACTTTCCTTCGTGATTAGGAAATGAGAAATTTAAAACAGAGGGAAATATAAATATCAGTTCTATTAAGTTCTGAAACATATCTTCAGAAGCTGAGACAAAATTATTTATGAAAATATCACTACAGCTATTCTTAATATTACCAAATGAGTGCTTTACTTATATTTTCTTACTGAACTCTTACTACAAATTGAGTTGCAACTTAATAGCATCTTACAACTAATGACATTTTATAATTGTAAAACCATTTTTCTGGAGGATTTGTGTTGGCTTCTGCCTATCACCTGGGGGTACTGTCAACTAAAATTTTTTGGATCACACTGAATTCAGACCTCAAACACACTTGAAGTTGTGGTTCAAATTCTCAGGGGAGGCATTTTTTCTTCCCTCCAACCAGGGTCAAGGTTGAGATATGCATGTTACTTTACTGTTCCTTTCTGTATGACATTTTTACTGAACTCATTCCAAGAGTATAGCTTTGGTTACCCCGGTTCTACTAGACCCCCCATTTTTGGTGGTGTTTTCTTTCTTTCTTAGTAACACATAAAATGAGAGTGCATCTCAAGGTGAATTACTGATAGAGTCCACTGTGCAGACTCATCAGACAATATCCAATCTAGTAACAAAGGACAAACTTGTTAAGAATGAAGATAAATGGAACAGGTAAACATAAATAGCCTATATTTCCTAAATGAGTAGGTTAGAAGCAAGAATGTGTCAAGAGGAGGAACGCTTTATCTAAGGTACTTAAATATTTACATCAAATAAATGAAGGATAGCTCTCTGGATTTTACCAGAGACAATATGAAATATGCCACCTACGTCACTCCAACTTCAGAGCTTAAATCAGAACAGAAGCGTCAGAGATAATTTTTTGGATTACAGACAGATCCCTCTGGGAATCTGATGAAAGCTGTGGACAGCTCAATTTTGGTTTTGTTTGTTTTCAAACACACAGAAGAAATTCTGCATTCAAATTGCATGGCCTGTAGTTAAACAGCGAGTGGGTGAGCTGACGCTCACAATATACATATATATTAAGATATAGGCAGCCAGTTACCCTCTCCTGAACCTCTATGAAAGGGGAAGGCCGTTCTGCAAAATGCACCCTCCTGCCCATAACCTGGCAAAAGCACAGAGAAAGGAAGACCCTGGCCAAGTTGGAACTAAATTACACCAGTTGAGCTCCTAGGCTCAACTACACGGGGTTCCTTGGAACTTAAAGGCTCTTTAGAGTGCCTCTTATTTCATAGGACTGCTGAGAACCCCTCATGCATTGCCCTCACCCCCACCTGGAGGAGCCTCTGCTGCTGTCGAACCTGTGGCTGCCTGGGTCTCATCGGGTCCTGAGGCAGGGGCACTGAAGGAAGGCTTGGATGTGTGGAAGTCAGCACCGCATCGATTCCTCCACCTACCAAAGGGCTCTGCTGAAGGGACTGATGATTCAGTCTGGTAAAAAAAATACAACTTGGTTTCACACCCAGGCAAACTGTCGTATTTTCAATCAGTGCCAGTGGCACATTACGCACGTTCACAAAGAAACAACTGTGTTCAGTATTCAACTGTACAATTCACATGCGATAGAGACCAGTGACTAAGATCATCTAGATTTCCATGGAGAGATGGAGTCACTGGACAAAAGACAGCAAGCATGCTCACTACTTAAGATAAAATTGCAATCGTGTTTAAATCACTTCTTAAAAATATTTTAATTGTTTTTAATAATAAGTGACATTATTTGAGCATTTGCTCTGGAGACGGCACAGCGGTAATGAGAGTCTGAAATGTATTATTTCATTACTCCCCACAGCAACCCTTTGAGGTCAGCAGTTTTATTATCCCCGTTTTATTTATTTAAAACTTTTAATTGAAAGATAGTTGACACTTGTATTTGGGACAGTGATTTGGAAATGAGGAACACCTCAATTTTGGTTTTGTTTTATTTTCAAACACATATAAGAAATTTTGCATTCAAACTGCATGGCTTGCAGTTAAACAGTGAGTGGGTAAGATTCAACAATTCTATACATTATGAAATGCTCACCATGATAAGTGTAGTTATCACTTGTCACCATACAAAGTTATTACAATAGTATTGACTATATTCCCTATGCTGTACTTTTCATTCCCGTAACTTACTTATTTTATAACTAAAAATCTGTACTTCATAATCCCCTTCACTTATTTTGCCCATCTCTCTGCCCTTTTCCCTCTGGAAACCACCAGTTCGTTCTCTGTATGTACACTGGTCTGTTTCTATTTTTTGTTTATTCACTGTTTTCTTAGATTTACATATCAGTGAAATCTTATAGTATCTGTCTTTCTCTGACTGACTTATTTCAGTGGCGAAAACTTATCCTTTTTATGGCTGAGTAATAGTCTGTTCTATATATACATGACATCTTCTTTATCCACTCATCTATTGATGGGCGCCCGGGCTGCCTCCATAGCTTGGCTATTGTAAATAACGCTGCAATAAACATAGGGGTGCATGGATTCCTTTAAATTAGTGTTTTTGTATTCTTTGGGTAAATACCCAGCTGTGGAATTATTGGATCATATGGCAATTCTATTTTTTCTTCTTTGAGGAACCTCCATAGTGTTTTCCATAGCAGCTACACCAATTCACATCACCACCATCAGGCCACAAGCATTCCCTTTTTCTCCACATCCTTGCCAACACCTGTTATTTCTTGCCTTTTTGATCCTAGCCATTCTGACTGATGAGAAGTGATACCTCAAGTGGTTTTGACTTGCGTTTTCTTATCCCTATTTTAAAAATGAGACAACAGAGAGCTAGAGAAGTAACTTCCCAAAGTTATTCAGACAGTCAGTAAAGAGCACAGGTGGGATTGAAACCCACAACTGTTGAGCTCTGAAGTTCAAGTTCATAGGCAATATGCTTTGCTGCCACTTATTAGAATAGTAATAAATACAATGCATGTTTTTCCGATCTTATTTTCCCAAATGTGTTACCATCAACCGTGCCAACTTTCCAAGCTGTAACAACTTTGTGTTGACGTACAGCAACTGATTGTAACACATGGAAGCTAAACTGCTGTCTACTATAATGTAAAATTTTGCATGAAACTTAATTCTTCTAGACCAATGCTATCCGACAGAAGTTTCCACGATGCCTAAAATGTTCTACAGTTGTGCTGTCCAATAAGATAGCTACTGGTCTCCAGGACCAGTGACATAATTTCTGGGTCTCAGTGTGAAACAAAAACACAAGGCTCCTTGATCAAAAACTAGTAGGATTTTCAAGATGGTAACAGTAGACCATTACACTAAGCATGGGATCCTTCTAAATACAGTGCACTGTGTGACTGCACAGGTCCCACACCTTCAAAGTTGGCTCTGCTCGGCTGCATGTGGCTATTGAACACTTAAAATGTGACTAGTGTGACTTGAGAAACTAAACTTTTAATTTAACTTTAGTCTTAATTTAAACAGCCACACATGGCTGGTGGTCACCATGCACTATGTCTATGGGATTCAATTATAGCAAGAACTGAGAAAGAATCTTTCATGATCCTCTGTGCCAACCACACCTGAAGCAGAAAAGGTGGAAACTAAAATATAACAAAACTCTTATGGGCACCATGCACAATGAGCATTAATCGATCACAGACTTTATGGCTCCAACCAATATATTCTAGTAAGGTACTGCTAACAATAATCAGCACTTTTTTCATTTTAAGATATTTTTAGCCAAAAATCTTTTTAAAAGAGCGGAAAACACTGCAGCTAACATACTGGCATCATCTAAAACATTACACCCATACTATGGCAGATGTGAGTTTACACGGGCCTTGAATGAAATAATCCTCTATCTGGATGCTACTAAAAATGAGATGACAGAATGCAAATTATATGCAAATATGCAAGCTCATAAAAACAATTATAAAGCACCATGCCCTAGACAATGTCTAACAAAGTCAGGAATTCGAGTGTCTACTACTGTAATCATTATTTCCACATGTATCACCTCTGAGAGCCAGTCAAGGACTGCAGGTATGGTGATGCCTGCTGCTGAACATAGCCACTGGGCGGCTGCTGCATCTGTCTGAGTCTTTCCATTAGCGCCGGGTTGGAATGTGCGGCCGGATAAGTTCTGGAGTTATAGTTGGGAGAGAGGACCACGCCACCAGCCTGCTGCTGTGGGGTCTGCTGCAGAGGCATCTGTGTTCCGTACATCGTATAGCCCTGGGGCATGGTCTGCAGGTGGGCACAAGAAGTCAGTGTTTTAATTTACCACCAACTCTGCTATCACTAAGCTATATGGGGCAAAAACAAACCTGGGAGGAGTTCCCTGAAAGTCACTGTTCTCAAAGGTTCTTATAACTCAACATATGAGGAGGACAACTCTGGAGGTAAGAGGGTGGCGAGAAAGCTACAGAATGAACTGGTTGGATCATGATTCATCAGAAATTTCAATTAAAAAAAAAAATCGAGGGGCGCCTGGGTGGCGCAGTCGGTTGAGTGTCCGACTCTTGGTTTCGGCTCAGATCATGATCTCAGGGTCATGAGACTGAGCCCTGCATCAGGCTTCCCGCTCATCATGGAGTCTGCCTGGAATTCTCTCTCCTTCTCCTTCTGCCCCTCCCACTCAAGCTCTCTCTCTCTCTCTCTGATAAATAAATAAATCTTAAAAAACAAAACATGAATCCTCATTTGGTTAAAAGATCAGTTTTAGAATCAGTTGCTTACTTTGAGGGAAGGAAAGACATGTTTCTGTATAGAAATAATCAGGCAAGCATCCATACCTTAAGTGCACAGATGACATCAATGTTCAACAGATCCCAAGCACCATTAATTTCATTTCCAAAATTAGAAAGAAAAGCTACCTATTTCCAATGTAAATTAAAATGCTGGAGTACACTTTCCTGATATATAACTATACCTACACCTTGGATCTGATGAATTTGCCTGTAGTAATTAACCAGTTACCAAAAAACAAAAACCAAAAAAAAACAATACCTTAACCCCACAGTAAGGGTGTATTTGGAGACTATTTGATATCCTCTAGTCCTGGTTGGACTATAGCCCTTTTCAGCACTCTACCAATACTCTGAATATTTAATTTTTCTATTCAATATTAGTATATGAGTGCCTGTTCCCCTAAATCTTGACACCTAATGTAAATGAAAAACCTGAGGTTCTGTTGGGTGACTATCTGCAAGTTATAGAATGGAATGCTGATTGAAATAGAAGAGGCCTGCTCTTCAGTCCTCAAAGAACCACACTCTAAGGTAGTCTAATGGCTCTGACTTGGAAGACAGAGTAATGCATAATACACTTCCAGCGAGCAGCATGCATGGATCCAGCTGTGGGGCTCAGTGCCCGTGAGAACCAACCTCAGACTGCCTTTTAGCTATGGACACAGTGTGAACTGTTAGCCCCACTGGCAGTCTTGCCAACATCCCTGGGCTCCTAATTGTGAGGGAGACAGAGTAAAAGTATAGAGATGCAGAAACCACAAAATTACCAGGAAAAATAGCCCAGGAGATGCCTTATATTGAGGCAAGTCTATCATTTGTTGAGTGGATCTGGTGCTATGCTGGTTCCACAGGTTGTCCTAAATCCTCACATACTCATCTCTATTTTGAAGGAAACCAAGACACAGAATAACTTGCACAATATTACACAGCTGGTAAGTTGCCAGGAATTGCACCATGGTCTGATTCCAAGGTCAATTACCTTCTTATTCTACCATGATTCCTCTGCAAACCTATCTTTTAATATGATAAATTCAATCATGAATTACATCGTTATTCATTATAACATACAATAAGCACTCTGGGACTGTGAAGCATTTCAACATCTACTCATTATAAGTAGAGAGGTTATTTGTATTTTTAACTCCAGAACTTTCTGAAATATTTTATGCTCTTTAAAAAATCAGTCAATCCTAAGGCTTGTTGATCACTGGTAATGCTTTTTTTGAGATGTCAATTATAATCTATAAGCAGAAGTACTATGTTCTAGACCCCATAAAGAGCTGATATCCTATTTACTTGGTTTCCCACTTCAAATAAAGAACAGTAAAAATCCCAGCAGCATCTACAAAGCAAATGCAGATACCTGTGCTTGCTGCAGCCCTGGATACTGGGGGAGCTGAGGGGAGGGCCGAGCCTGTGCAGCAAAGAGAGCAGCCTGGTCCCCTGGTGGGCCCTGGAAAACAAAGTCGAGGTGGACTCTTGATCATAACAGCAAGAACTTGATTTGCACTCCTGGCTAATAAGCCCGATAACCCATGACACCAAATCTTATTAGATGATTATACAACTTGGAGATTTCCAAACTGCCTTAAATATAACTTCTCATCAATTTTCTATGTGTGTAGAGACTATTAAACTTATTTCTTTCAAAGACTATAGAGGTTTCCAACAGTAACAAGCGAAAATAATCTGATGGTCTACTTATCAGAGAGGCTCTGAGATAGCTTTCCTGTACAGCCCAGGATATAAATGCCCCTCTAGACTGAAACTCATGAGCCTCGAGTGTGAAATCTGAAACCACAGAGATGTACCATTCTGTGCCCATAAAAGAAAGAGAACATGTAGTACATAGAAATGCCACATACAAATTTCATGACTTTTTTAATGAAGTTTCTTCATAGTGACCTAAAAATTATCTATTTAACCACGTAGTCAAGAGATGAATTTGGTATCTCCTATGACTAAACATCAACTAGAATATAATCAATAAAAATTTATAATACATCAATAGCAAATATAATTCTAATGAACTACAATATAAAGCCAATTAAATTCTGCTTACCAGTCCTAATTTAATACATGTGTTGCCCTTTGAAAAATAAACATATTTATAAGAGCAGCTGTATGGGTTTTATGTTACGGTGTCAGAAGTTATTTCATGGAAGCTTGCAATAATCATCACAAAAAGAGCTCTAGCTTCCAACCATCCCTAGATTTTTACAGGACTTACTAATTATAAAGAATGGGGTTTATTTCAAAATATTTTACTACTGTTTTATTGAACAGATATCCTCATTTTTCAAAAATGTTAAATTATACTTACATAAAACCATTTAATGTGCTTGGAAAGTAGTGTAAACTCTTCTAACAAAGAGAAAACTAAACATTTAGAGAGCAAACACCAACAATTATTAAACAGCTATTCTACACCAGAGATTCGACTTCATGTTCTTACTCCCATTTTCTCACAGGAACTCTGCAGAAAGGGAGGATCATCCTCACTCATTTTCTTCAGAGAAAAAGCCAGGTTCAATGAGCTTAAGCAGCTTAGCAAGCTCACCAAGACAGACCTAGCAGAGCCATTATCTGAACTCAGGGCTCTTGCCATTATGACAAGATGTCTCCATATGTGATATTAAAAATGGAAATACTTAAATCTTCATTTGGTGCTTATCCTTTAGTGACAAAGAGCCTCTACAACTCACTCTAATAAAAAACAGAGAAAGAGGGGCGCCTGGGTGGCTCAGTCATTAAGCGTCTGCCTTCGGCTCAGGTCATGGTCCCAGGGTCCTGGGATTGAGCCCTGCATCGGGCTCCCTGCTCGGCGGGAAGCCTGCTTCTCCCTCTCCCACTCCCCCTGCTTGTGTTCCCTTTCTCGCTGTGTCTCTCTCTGTCAAATAAATAAAATCTTAAAAAAAAAAACAAAAAACAAAAACAAAAACAGGGAGAGAATCTCTATTAAGACTTGTTACTGAAATATTGAAACCAAATGTATACATCCTATGGTAAAATTCTTTCTCTGATCCTCATATAAAATCACTTGAGGGCACTTCCTAAGGTGACTATCCATCCATCCATGGGCCAAACGCAAGTTTCTGAGAGTGCATATAATAGCTTCAACAAGAACCTAAATTCCCAGAATAGGGGGACCATAAAGATACCCTCAGCTTTTAGCTGATTGATCTAAGTGCAATTATGTCTGTATTTACTTGGGTCTAAGGAAAATAACCTCAGCTCCTTCTATGAGAACTCATTCCATGGCAGCATGGCCACCCGGGACCAACAACTCTTCCCCTGAGAGTATGTGAAAGGCTTTTGATCTTCCAAACACTGCCAAGGAGTCATTAGATGAACCACATGGTTAAATGCCACTCCTCGAGAATCCGGGCTCCCTGACAGTGCCCTACAAGGTCTCTGAAACACACTCTTTTGCTTTTTTGTGGGGAGAAATATTTGCACATTATCCTTTTTACAGAAAGGAAGAAAAATGAATTATTTACATGTGAGTTAAAATCTTGAGATCCATAAGTAGTTTACAATTCCCACACCCTGCTTTGTCTTAGAGGGGAACAAGATGTGATCTGTGTGTGACAGCCGCATGCAGATGCATAAGGACAGATTTTTCATACTATTCATTCTTCCTCTGCTTATTGAAGAACCCTACGAAAGGAACTATGACTTACATGTGGAGTAAACTAGAATACTAATAAGGGAAATAGCTGTGTTACTGGACAACACTCTTATTGGCAAGTAACATTTGAGATCACGGACACTTAAGAAATAGGAATTTAGAACTATTCTACATAAAAAAAAAATCACAAAATTAACATGTAAGGTAAAATACTAACTTTCAAAGAAAAAGAGAAAGGGATAAGAAATCTCACATACAGTTTTTACAATGTAAAATTCATGCATTCTGTCATTTTTGTCTCAAGGAAAACTATTTATTTATGAACATACTATGCTCCTTCCTACCACCAATTTTTCCTGATTTATATAAGATAGTAGGTAATAATTCAGATCTGCAATATCCTTCCTGGGAAAATCAAATGCTCCGAGCTGGCCAGTAGTCCCCATGTACTCTGTGCATGGCTTTATCATCATGTTTCCTTGAATGAAAGATACCCCAGTCTCTCCCACAGAACTGAAATGTCCTACTTTTGGTTTTCCCCAGAATAATGCTAGAAACACATTATATCAATAATTGTACAAATTACTGATGTTGAATTTGTTGAATAAGGAATGAATAAGAGAAGTTCTTTAGTGAATTTTAATTTTTAGCATCTATCATTCTAATGATTACTTATTTATACCTGCATTAATATCTGCAAAATAGCTCAATTTCCCCCTCTTGATTTATTCTGCTTAATTGAAACAACTAAAGGAAACATTAAATTCATATTTTTAGGGGGCATCTGGGTGGCTCAGTCGGTTAAGCATCTGCCTTTGGCTCAGGTCATGATTTCAGGGTCCTGGGATTGCGCCCCGCTTCAGGCTCGCTGCTCAGCCGGTGGGGGGGGGGGGTGGAATCTGCTTCTCCCTCTCCCTCCTCCCTCTACTCATGCTCTGCCTCTGTCTCTCTCTCTTTCAAATAAATAAAATCTTAAAAAAAAAAAGTACACATTTTTGTGTGAGCCAAAGGATAACTCAAGAGGCCGGTTTTTAACCAAATATTTGTGTCTAGCCAACTGACATTTGACTTTGAGCACATCACTAGAAGAGAAAATAAGACATGTTTGTGCCCTGCTCAGGCTCCCTTGGCTCAGACACCTGACTTACGTGTGCTAAAGGAATAAGCCGCAGTTAACTGGGAAGTTCTGGTAACTACACAGACTCATCTCTACCTTGTTACCTGAGGTAAATTCCTACATGTGTCTATGCACTTTGCTTTGGGCTTGCCTCTCTATAAGAAACATAAATCCACTGCATTTTTTTTTTCAACTTCCACTTTCTAAAACCTTAAGAAGCTGTGCTATGTTCCTAGCCTTTATAAGAACAATTCTCTCTTACTGCTTTATTTAGAGTCAGACAAGAGAAGTATCTGAACTCAAAGAGATGGTGACTCAAAGGCCTTTTGCATAATTTGAAATAAATGCATCCAATAAGTTTAAAATTCTTGATAAATTATTCTCAAACATAATTTTCATTCTTCTGGGTCTTGTTCTCTTCACTTAGCAATTACTCCCCCTCAGGCAATTGAAAAAATGTGAAGACCTCTTTCTAAAAGAGAATTGGTTATGGCTCCAATTAGCTGACAGTAAGCATGACAATCAGCATTTCAGGATTAGGGATTTTCTATTCACTCAGTTCACCAGCAATGAATTTTTGAAATCCCTATTTAATCACTTTTCAATGGTGTTTAAGTGTCTCAAGTAGAGAGACAAACTGTACCTAAAAAACCACAGCTAGATTTTGTGACTTTGTTTCTGATAATGCTGATTTAGGGATAATAAGAAGTCCCCCAGTGAAAATCAGTAGGTAATGTTTTATGAGTCATCTAGCAAAAAGGGTTTTATTTGTGACTACTAGTTTGGAAGGTAATGAGTAATGGTGCCCGAAGCTAAAATAATACATGGTGTGAACCAGAAATTATGGTCATCACATCATACTGGTGTATTTTGATTGCAGACAACAGACACAGAGAAAATTCTATAAATACAGGAGGTCCAGCTGACCAGTTATGCTTGATTCTCTTATAATGTTTTCATATAAAATACAACGTGGTTGGGAATCAATTAACAGTAACATTAATGGCTGGAACAAACTGATTCATTCTAAAATAAACACCTCACACAATAATGAACTTTTACAATATACTCTTAACATGCTCATAAATGAATAGATGATTGGTTGAGTATATACATTTACTATATTCTTAATACTGGAGAAAATTAAAGGAAAATTAGAATGGTGAAAAGGACAGCAAAGATATATACACACATTTCCATTAATTTGAATGAATACATAAAGCACAGAACCTTATGACTTTAAATACTTGATAAACATTTGGTCTTTTAAAAAAAAGTAAAATCATTGATTGATGCAAATTCTACTTTATCCAAATTACATTATCATCTGAACAAAATGTCCAACAGCAAACATAAGCTATCTCCAAAATACTTTTTAATTGATAAAGTTTACTTCAAGTTTTTAAATAAAAACCTCACCTGCTCTCTGTATACCACAAAGTGTCAAGAAAAATTGATTCTTTTCAGAAGTCTCCAAACTTTTCTTTGCTGAATAACTATTAAAGAAATTGCCTACATAACAAGCATTTAATAACCTAAATATTTTCAAAGCTTGAATATGCAATCACGGACATTTTCACCAATGTACAGAAAATGTTACCCATTAAAATTGGCAGTGAAACAAGTTGACTTACATTCACATCTGAGATGTGTGCTCTTTTTTATTCTAATGCTTCTTGGGTTTATGTTGTGGGTTGGCTACCTG